ACTGTCGGAGCTGACAGTGCACGGTTTACTGAAACTGCGCATCCCTAATTTTAACCTAAAACCTCGCAATTAATAAAATTTAACTATGAAAATACCAACAAAGATTTTCAGAAGAAGCTCTCGACTCATTCAATCGATAGCTGTCACGTTTCTTGAATTTTTATATATTTATAACATCATGCGCTGAGAAACACCTATTTTATAATTTAGCTCTATTTCGTATATCGCAGTAAAATTCCTTCTATGAATTCTTTTTAATTATCTTCTGTTTATTTGTTTAGGTATATTAATTCAAGTTCAAAAAGTAAAAGTTGATGGTGAAGGTTTAATTATACAAATTGATCAATTAATGAAACAAAATCAAATTAATTTTAGTATACTTGCTACGATTCCTGCTATACTAATTATTACTTTTGTTACTATTGCTACAAAAAATATTGTAAGTGATAGAGTAATAAATCGACGAAAATTTGATTTAACAACAATTCGTGAACAAATCATACGTATACTTCGAGAAATTGAACATATATTAATTTTTAATAATGAAATGCCAGCATTAACAATTAATAATCAAGAATTAATTGTTGTTGAACATAGTGATAATGAAAATGGTGATCAACAAAATACAATGACTTATTTAACATTTGGTCATTTTCTATCTCATATTTATGAATTAAAATATTTTACTAAACAACTTAAATCAAAACGTATGCTTTCAAAAGAATTTAATGATGATATTGATTTATTAACACATCCACAATTATCACCGGAACAAAAACTTTTAATTATTCAACAAATCTATCACTCCTATTCATTTCTTGTTCACTCTTAATGATCCGGTTGATTTTGTTTTCCCCCTAATTGGTGCTGTTATTGTTTTCTACTAGTTTTGTCTTCCTCAGTCCAAGTATTTATTGGTGATATACCATAATAAAAAAAACAGAATTTGAAAATAAAAATTGTTAAATTGATTTAAAAAAACAGATGAATTAACTTGTAACGATATAAAGTTTATCACTATATTTTATTTCCCCACGAGATACGAGAATCCGGTAAGAAGTTTCGAAGAACTGATTAGACCAACAGAACAGAGTTGGAACCGGTCCGGACAAAACCGAATTTTTACCGATTCATAAAATTAGAAAATTATATTTGTATTTCAATTTTTTTTCTTACAAAATTAATCTTTATTTGTTTTTTTTGAAATATCATGTTAGGAATTGTTATACGTATATGTTTTCGTTGAAAAAGAGCATGTGACAAAAATATTCGTATAAACTCATAATTTTGCCGGATTGACGTCAAAAGTAGTCCGGCCGGACCGGACCAGATGGAAAAAATCCGTCCGATTCCAACTCTGCAACAGAGTATCAATATGTTTGAGGGTGATGATGTGAGATGAAATCCATACCTCAGTAGCGTAACCAGCAAATCACGAGTGCTCGGGCGGTAATTTTACTTCCAACGTTACTAAGGAGAATCTTAGAAATATTCAATTCTGTTGAGCACGAAGCAAGTTCGAAGATTTACTTCTTTCTTTCCTAAAAAATCTCGATTGATATAAAGTCTCTAAAAAATAATAATTATTCGCTAAGAGATAAAGAAAAAACTCCAACTCAGTCATTTCTTTCGAGTCATTATTCATTGATTTTATTAATCATAATTGTTTTAAATGAAATCAAAATATTTTTCTTCTTTGAAGTTCATATGATTATTTTGTGATATAAATACATATTGATATATGTATGTCTTGTTTTTTTTCAATCTATTTGAACTATATTTAAAGCAATGATATGTTCAACAATTTTCTTATTAACCAAATAATACATTATGACAGTATTTGTTTCATCTTTTTTCTTTCATTGATCATATCTGTATATGTATATTGTTTTCTATTATTGAAGAAGATTTTACTTTTGATACCGAATAATTGTTTTCTTTTCTTTTCGTCAAGGATATATGCTCATCATCATTTAATTAGATAGGAGGAGAGACATAATTGATTCAATATATCTTTGAAGTTCATTGAATCAAATAGATACTCATCGATTTGACAATAAAATAATAACAAGTAATGTTCATGTGAATGTACAACATTCCAAATAGACATAGTTCGCACTTTCTATGTTGACCTTTTGCTCAACATGATTTTTCGGTTGAAATTCGATCTATTGATGGTGATTAGTGACTATCTACTGTTGGATATAAATATAAATGAGACGTGTCTGTTGTTATAGTTAGATTTTTCGATAGAATATGGTTATTATCGTCAGTCGAAAGGTTGTTTAGATCATTTACATTTCACACAATACTATCAATAGCATAAATTACGTACAACATATTTATAATTCAATGAAAAACATCAAATTCTTAAGAAATAAATTTTTTTTCCAAATTATTTTTATTATGGAAAAACAAGAAGAAAACCAAAAAAAAATGAAAACTGTAAACATATGTAAATATGAACAGATTGAGAAAAACATAACTACCAATAGAGATATAACGAATAATTTGTATTTCTTTTTTTTTCTCACTGTGAATGTTATAATATAAGAATTTTGTCTTTAATTAATCATTTAGAATATTTGATTATGACTAGATTTTGTTGAATTTTATCTATGATGAACATGTTGTTGTTGCTGGTGAAATAAAATTGTACAATGAATGATGATGATGATGTTGTTGTTGATGATGATGAAGAACATTAGCAGCAGCAACAGCTAATGGATGTTTTAATTGTAGAAAACGATATTTTTCTGTATCAGCTTCAGCTATACGTTTTTCTTTAGCTCGTCGATTTTGAAACCAAATCTAGATAACAGAAAAAAAATTTCGTATTTGTTTTAAAAATTATTTAATACATACTTTTACTTGTGTTTCGGTAAGATTTAATGAAGCTGAAAATTCAGCTCGTTCAGCGATAGTTAAATATTGTTTATCACGAAATTTCTTTTCTAATGCAAGTAATTGTGATGTTGTAAATGGCGTACGTGGTTTACGATTTTGTTTATGTTTACGTAATGAACAGGCTTTTGCATTAATCCTGGGTAATTCATTATTACCTAAATGATCAATGAATAATTAATAAAATATTTAATATTAGGTCTGTAATAGTTTTCTTACGTGCTTTATCAATAATATCTGCATCTGGTAACCAATGTGGTTGAGTATTATTATTATTATGATTCCAAGATAATCGTGCAAGAATACTACTACCATCACCACCACCAGAAGATGATGGTGAATATTGAAGACTTTCATTACTTGTTGATTTCGATGGACTGGTTGTATGTGATGAGGAATGTTGAATATCATTCTGTGAACAATCAATTAATGAACGTATACTAAAATCTGTATTTCGTTTTGATTTCTTTAATGGTGGTTCCATATTTAACGATTGATCGATCGATATAATTCTAATTTGTGAAATAAATTTCTTACTTCTTTCTTCGACAAGAGACAGAGAGAGAGAAAGAAGAAAAATAAATCCGATTGGTTTGAATGATGAACTAAGTGGAAGAAAATCATTTATTGGACGAAAAAATATAGCTACTGTCTCTTCCTTTCTCTCTCTCGCTCTCATAAATCGATGAGAAAAAGGAAACAAACTCTTATCCCATAAACGGAAATTACTCTTTTTCTCTTGAAAAAAAAATCTATATCATTGTGTTCATCTTTATACAATGATTATATATTAGATATATATATGTGTATGAACAAAGTAGCAAAAAAATATCGAATGGATCAATCAAAATAAAACTATCATTAATCGTATATGCAACAAATCCCAATAATTTAATCTCGACAGGTATCCGCCTTTTACGTTCGTTCAAAACTAAAGACATTCAACGTGAGGAAAATGACAAATTCACGTTTGATTTGATGTTGTTTTTTTTTATTCTTGACGAGGTTAACTCTAATAGCAAGACTCTAGGGGGTAATTAGATGATAGGTGTAGAAAGCATCTATCACTATATATACGCGATTGACAAGCGCAACGAATGATAATATGTATCTGACGTATGCATAGTTTTTTTTTTCGTGATTGGATTTCTTCACGATGATGATGATGATTATTATTATTATGTAATATAAACTGATCTCCGGAAAAAAAGAAATCATCGATTTAATGATCTATATTGTAACGGAAGTAAATCGTTTGATGAAAACGGTCTAGATTATCACCCAGATGCTCATAATAAAAAGAAATACGGATATCGGTCTCTTTTAACAAATACAGACACACATATACATTTGAATGTAATAATTAAAAAGCCAGATGAAAATTTTTTCTTTCTTTCTTTCTTTCTTTCGTTCTTTCCCATGAAAATCTTATTCTTTCGACATCATTCACATATCATTAAGCTAAATGACTATTATGATATGCATTGAGACTCGTCGTCAGTCAAGTGTCGAACGGTTGTTGTGTGTTCACTGATCAAAATTTGATTTTATGTATATGTATTCATTTCTATCACCATGTGATTCAATGAGATGGAACAGATTTTATATTCGATTGTCAAAAAATGGAATGGTTCACCTGCTTTCCTCTCATACATATCACATTCTTGCAATTAAATAATCATTGTTTTGTCACATCTTTGAATAATCGATTGGAGAGATATTTTATGGAGAGAGAGAGACCGAGAGAGAAATTATTGTGGTTCATTAATATAGAAAAAGAATTTTATATGCAAATTTTATCATTTTTATTTTCTTTAAAGTAGTAGTAGCTGACAGATAATGCGCATGACAATTGAATATTTATTCACTCGAATCGATGAATTTTTGACATTTTAAACATGCAAATAAACTTTTCAATTGACTTTCTTCTTTTTTTTATTCGTCCTTCTTCGATCGAGTATGCGTGACAATAATATACATGATATTGATAATTGAGAAAAATTAATGGGGTTATCTTCATCGTTTGTTTTCGAAGGAGATATGTGATAAATGAGAGGAAGATAGAGACAATTAACGAAATAAATCAAATTGTATACCTTGAGTAGTATTTAACATGAATATATATATATATATATATTAATCAAATGACAGATCAAGATATATATTGAGAGAGAGTAGTCTTTTCGTATCTCAAGTATGTAAAGGTTGTTCTCAGCTTAATAAATCGACAGTTAGAAGGTCATTATTTTCTAAATTTGATTAGCAATTCTTTACTAAATAACAAATCAAAACAAAAAAAATATATATATATAGACTTATATTCTAGATAATTATATGTGTAAATCTGATATTCATTTTTAGTACAAACGATAGTAACTATCTCATTAGTCGAATACAATAACCATCCTTTTTTTATGCTGCATATACATATACATATAAACATTGAATGGCTGAGACGTGACACAACGAGTCAATTGCCATTCGATCGATGAGCCTAATCGACTATTAACGAATATATATAATAAAAAGTTTTAATTGTCTATCGATAGACGTATAGTATATATATAAATGTATGTATAAAACAAAAAAAAGGGAAGACTAGTTTTACAAAATGTAATAATAAAAACAAAAAAAAGAACAATTTTTTATTTATGCAAAAGAAAAATATGTTGATGTCATTTCAAATTGTTTAGCTAACTGATCTTTTATTTGTATAAAACGATATTTTTCTAATTCAGCTTCCGATAAACGTTTTTCTTTTGCTCGACGATTTTGAAACCATATCTAAATACGCAAAAAAATTAATTTTATTCTTTCAAAAAAAAAATTCAATACATACTTTTACTTGTGTTTCAGTTAGATTAAGTGATAGTGAAAATTCAGCTCGTTCTGATATAGATAAATAATGTCGTTCGTGAAATTTTCTTTCTAATGCAATTAATTGTGTAGTTGTAAATGGTGTACGAGGTTTTCTATCATTTTTATGTTTACGTAATGGACAAATTTTCGTTTCAAATTGATCTAAATATAATCATATATTTTTTCATTTTTTTTTTCTAAATTTTGTTTTACCAGAAAACCAATATTCCGTAGGAGTTATTGAAGAATTTTTCATCATTGGAATTGAAGATTTCGATGAATAATTATCATAATCACAATCAGTATTATCACGTAAAAGAAATGCAACACTAAAATCTTTTTTAGTTTTGCTCACCATTTGTTCGATTGAATTATGTGTTATGTACGATTTCTTATTTGCTTCTATTGACTATGAATATATTGAATCTATAACACCAATGAAAATAATGAGAGAGAAATGATCAAGTATAAAATAAGTTGTTCTTTTTCATCCATGATTGGTTGAATGAGAAAGAAAAAAAAAAGAAGAAAAGTAATACTTCGCTTTTCATCGTCTTAATGCGATTGTACGTAATACCAAATCAACTAACAACTAGATGATGTGATAGAGTCATTTAATATATAATACATCATAGGAGATCAATTCTTACTAAGATGAATTTAAATGATTCAAGAAATCTTTTTTTTTTTTCATTGAAAAAAAAATGAGTGTCTCGTAACTATCAAAATATTATAATTACTAATTATTTATCCTTTTAAATATGTTTATTATGATTTTATCATTAAATATTAATAAGAAAATACACAAAAATGAATGACGTATCGAATACCTTTTTTCTCTCTCTCTCTGTCTCTCGTGATATATATCATTTAATTAGATAACAACTTACTCTTTGCATTATATATTCCAATTCTACGTCTTTTTTAATTAACTCAGTTGCAAACTTGATTTTTTGTCTTGATAAACGAGTTGATACATTACAACTGTCACGTCTTTACTTCATTTTCAAATATATATATGTATATAAGCAATCAAGCATACCACCGTATCACCTATTTATTGCGTATAGAACACATATATATGAGTGTGTGTGTGTATATCGATTACCTGATGATGTTCAGGCTCACTATTTACCTTTCATGGGCAAAGCTTATTAAGTAAATGATGATACGTCTTCACTTTTTTTTCTTTTTCTATCTAATTAATGTATAAAGTAAATGATCGAGTTATACAACGCTATAAAACTATTCGTTATATGCTTGTCAATAACAAAAGACGATGGATTCATGCTAATTATAGGTTAATATTTTTGCTTTAAAATGAAAGATCAATTTATTTATGTCTATCAATAATATCGATCTTTTTCTTAATAGTACAATTAATGAGTGTAAAACGAAAGAGAAAATATTTTCTACAATTAATCGAATGATATTAGTGATTTTTTTCTAATTAATGTAATATATATCAAATGATTTATGGAGAAAAAAAATTTAATGGATCGAATGTTAGTTTCATTCTTTAATTTGTAGATGATGTTTTTCGTATTACTATAAATAGAATTTTGTTTTATTTACATATTGAAATATTAACTTGAATGTAATGATGTATAATTTTCATATTTTTATGTTTACATAGCAAGAATATTAATGCATTTTTTAATATATTTTTTCTTAATCTATATTATTAACACTAATGAAGTTATATAAATTCAAAATTATGAGGGGCTACAGAATTTTGTAGACTTATCCATGTTACATAATGGCTCAATCGTAATCGAGACGACAACATAACTTTGTCATACGTACCTGCTGTCAAACAGGAGTCTATCGAGAAATTTAAAAGTACAAAATAATTTTATCAAAAACTCGAGAAACCGAAAATAGCAGTAAAATTCTGCTGACATTTTGAAATTCTAAGCAGAATTCTGGGATATCAAAAAGATTAGTATGAATATTTCATATTCTATTATTAATTACAAAAGTTGATTAACATTCTACTAAAATAAAAAAGACATTCATAACTTGCATAAAATTGTAAAGGCGTAACTACTAAAGATAAACTTTATCAATCCACACCCTATTGCGTTCGAGAATTGCATCAACTGAATAAAAAAGTGAAATGTTCGACACTTCTGGTACAAGTTCGTACTGAAATGTAAAACCATAATCATTTAATAAAAAAGAGTCATATTATACATCTGATTTCTACATAGAACAGAAAAAACATCAGATGGCTTACGTCGTACATAAGACATATGTTTTAAATGAAATAAAATAACCATAAACACAGGAGTTCGAAGCCAATAAAAGTATTGTTCAGCTGCTTCTATATTGATATTGTCTAGTACTAATAGAAATTTAATATACTAATACGTACAAATTCAAAATCCTAGGATTAATCTTACATCTATTTCTAATCGACAAAAAGTAACCGCATGATTCTAAAAATGCATGCGGTTCACATTAACGGGAGTAAATGCTAACAACTCCAACGCATATTTGTAAGAATTAAATCACGTCCAATATGACTATAAACATATGTCGCTAGACAACCGTCGTCGTATACCAATGTTGGTGCAAGACGGCCAGATACCAGGAACATAAGTTGATAATAGCATTCAACACAATACCCATAAATACGACTGAACATATCTCGAATATATGCGCAAAATACATTTATAATTTCCTTTAAAGTTTTAGAACGAAGCAATTCGCTAAAATCAGTCATTATTTTAAGGTGGATATGAGTGAGTATCTTTGTTTTTTTCTTTTCCACTCACACTCTTCTTTTTACACAGAACACTCGCGCAAAGAATTAGAAATGTAAATGTCTGAGAAAGCCATTTATGCACATACGTATGTATGTGTATTACCCTATCAGTCGATTTTCTCCATCACGTCTTTATTATTTACAGAGTTGTTCCATGTACGCGCGTATGAGTCACTAAAAAATAGAACTAATTTAAATATAAGTGAACATTGCATTCTTTTGTTTATTTATTGAATATTCTCTATAATTTCTTTTTTTACACTTTCAATGCTCCTTTTCACACTTTTTATATAAGAATGAGTTGAAGGTAATACACGTTGGAATATGTCCAAAGCACGTTCAAAATATGATAGTGCTTTTGAATAGTCTTTCATATTATCACACACCGAACCGATGTTGTTGTATGATGTAGCCAAATCAGGATGCGTTGAAGGAAGAGATTTTTGACAAATCTCAAGTGCTTTTTCCAAAAACGAAAGTGCTTTCGAGTACTCTCGCATGTTAATATACAGCATACCGATGTTGTTGTATAAAGCAGCCAAATCAGGATGATCTTCAGCAAGAGTTTTTTGACAGATTTCAAGGTCTTTTTCGAAAAATGAAAGCGCTTTCGAGTACTCTCCCTTGCAGTTATACACACTGCCGATGTTGTTGTACGAACTAGCCAAATCAGGATGATTTGAAGGAACAGTTTCTTTTCGAATTTCAAGTGCTTTTTTCGAAAAACGAAAGTGCTTTCGAATAGTTTTTCATATTTCGATACACAAAACCTATGTTGTTGTATGAAGTCGCCAAATCACAATGATTTGAAGGAAGAGTTTCCTCTTGAATTTCAAGTGCTTTTTCCAAAAACGAAAGTGCTTTTGAGTACTCTCCCATCTTGTCATACACACTACCGATATTGTTGCATATAGTACCCAAATGAGGATGATTTGAAGGATGAATTTTCTGATAGACTTCAAGTGCTTTTTCGAGAAATGGAATTGCTTTTGAATACTCTTCCATCTTGTTATACACACTACCGATGTTGTTGGATAAAGTAGCCAAATCAGGATTATTTGAAGGATGAATTTTTTGATAGATTTCAAGTGCTTTTTCGAGAAATGAAAGTGCTTTCGAGTATTCTGCTATGTCGTTATACAGCATACCGATATTGTTGTATGAACTAGCCAGATCAGGATGATTTGGAGGAAGAGTTTTGTCTTCAACGTCAAGTGCTTTTTCGTAAGATGAAACTGCTTTTGAGTACTCTCTCATCTTGTTGTATACACTGCCGATGTTGTTGTATGAAGAAGCCAAATCGGGATGGTTTGAAGGAAGAGTTTTTTCTCGAATTTCAAGTGCCTTTTCGAAAAATGAAAGTGCTCTCATGTACTCTTCTGTGTTGTGATATACCAGACCAATGTTGTTGTATGAACCAGCCAGATCGGGATGGTTTGAAGGAAGAGTTTTTTGTCGAATTTCAAGTGCTTTTTCGAAAAATGAAAGCGCCTTCGAGTACTCTCGCATGTTGTTATACGGCATACCGATGTTATTGTATGAAGTAGCCAGAGCAGGATGATATGAAGAAAGAGTTTTTTGTTGAATTTCAAGTGCTTTTTTATAAAATGAAAGCGCTTTCGAGTACTCTCCCCTGGAGTCATACACACCAGCAATGTTGTTGTTTGCAACAGCCAAATTAGGATGATTTGAAGGCAGAGCTTTTTGTTGAATATCAAGCGCTTTTTCCAAAAATGAAAGTGCTTTTGAGTACTCTCTCATCTCCATGTACACAGTACCAATGTTGGCGTAAGAAGTTGCAAAATGAAGATGATTTGAAGGAAGAGTTTTTTGTTCAGTTTCAAGTTTTTGTTCTAAATACTGAATAGCCTTTTGATAATCACCTTGATTGTAATGGACAGATCCCAGCTGATTATAATAAAGTGCTTTTTTACCTTCATTAGATGTCTGTTCGAGTAATACGTTGTAAAGTTCTTCAGCTTTATTAAATTGACCAATTTTAAGCAATAATCTGCCTAATCTCTCCCATCCACTATCACCAACAGCTTCTTGTCGTATTCGATCAGTAAGTAATCGTAATTGTTGATCATCATCCGATGTTAATTCTAAGTTAACTTGATAAAGTTGGTTGTTATTATTCGTGTGTTGAATTGCATTCACTCGAAAGACTGTGTGCATTGAAAAAAGAATTTCATCTTCTTCCTTAAAATAACTTTCCTCTTTGATGGAGGCAAATGGTGCTGATTGAATGCTAGGATCAATGGACATTATAAAGAGAATGCCCGTCGTATCTAGTTTTGTTGAAGCACATTGAGCAAAACCGAGGGACACTTCTTTGTTCGTACTGGTGGACAAGAAATTGTTAAATGATAAGAGTCCACCTTTTGTTTTCTGAAGTTTTTCAAAGTCTGATTTCATAAGACCTTGTCCTCGATAGACTACAAAAGGTTTTCTTCCATAACTGTTGACCTGTTGTTCGTGCAACTGTTGTATTTGTTGATGCAAATGACATATAAAGAAACCCATAGTAACAATTGCATCAGCGTCCAATGTTCGAAGACCGTAATTGAGCATAGAATAGATATTCGATGGAAAAGTATACCACCAAATAGCTAATTGATCATGGTATTCTTTCTCAAAACGGTCAATATTGATTGGTGACACGCAGCCATGATGTCGACAATAAGCTATAAACTGGCTGATGTCTTGTTGACTATGTTGCATATCAAGAAGAATATCTTTGAATATTTGGGTGTACATAAATGTTGGCTCCAACTGATTTAAATTATCAGTGGAAGTCATTTCATTTGGAGTGATAAAACTCATAGCTATGGAGTCTTGATGGTATTGTTTAATACCCAGCTGTAGTCCTTGGCATAAATTATCGATGTTAGCATGAACGTTCTTGATTTTTTGCCATTTTTTTGTCCATTCTTCAGGTAGGATTTTAGTATCATTTGAGATATAAATACCATGCAGCTGAGGAATATCATTGATGAGGGGCATTATTTGTTGACACATAGTGTCCTTGACAATGAGAAAATACTTGACTTCTTCTTGAGCATCTGTAAGATAGTCGATGCATACATCTCGCTGCGTAAAGACGTTAACATTGTCAGTAAGGGTTTTTAATTGGGTCCAAATATCTTGATAATCTTTGTTTGCTTCTTCCATAGACTCATCTAACCAGAGGAGTGAATAATCTTGAGCTATGCGTCGCCTTGGTTGAATAGTATCCGATGTTGTCATGGTTGTGTTATTGTTATTCATGAACGGATTTGATAGTAAAGAAGCTTTTTGATTAGATCCTGATTCACTCATTTTGTTCTTTATATAATCTGATGTTGAATATAAGCTTGTCAATAATTGTTGTTGTTTAAATGGTAACAAAAGTTACCGTTCTTATTTATAATGGCAACGGCGGATTTTTTCTGTTTTTTCTTCAGCTTGCAAAATGTACGTATTTTTTGTCAAGATTCAAAGAGAAACTTCAACCAGTCACCTTTTAAAATATTGTTGTGAAGAATAGGGGATAAAATAAGGCAAATAACTTTCTTAACAGTGTTCGCGACAAAACAAACAAATCAGAAACCAACGAAATGATTTCGTTTTATAGTTATTCTTTCCAACTTTCTCTTATTTTCATTTGCGCAATTACTCAAGTATCCCAACGCACGTGCGGCACTTTTTTATATAAATGGAAGAGAACAAAAATGATTTATTCAGTGAATGTTGCTTCTCTTCGTCATACATCGTTTTGACGTTAAATGAACGCAAAGAATTTATTAGAACAAAAGAATTGAAGACAAAAGTTTCCAAAATTTTGTAAGATTAATACGTTACAGGTCTCCTATCAGTGAACGAGAAATAGACTTGTATTGTAAATAGTTTTTAACAACTAAACAACTGTTGAATCTTATGATATTAAAAAACTTCATTTTTCACAAATGATAACGTAGTAAACTATCTATCTAATTTACTAATTCAAGTTTTATAATGGAAGCATAGAATACTATTCTTGTACGGAAAAGAAATTATTACACATTCATAATGGTAAAAATGACTAATTATAAACGTATTATTATTATGTATCATCGGTTTTATTGCATTGTTGATAGTAGTTTGACAATAAGCTTGCTTACATGTGAGAAATAGTTAAAAGTCTATTGATTTATCTATCAAACGATATTATTTGAATAAGAACAAATATTTTCTGTAAAATATTCCAGTGAAAATTTGTTCTGTCATAAAGTGAGTAATTTGCGAAATGGTTTATTTATCAAATCATCTGCTGTATATTCTTTTTTATGCTAATACAACTATTTGAACAAAACATGGATGATCTTGTCATGATAAATAGAAATACTCATAAAAGAGTTATGCTAAATCCCTTTAAATTCAAGAATTTCTAAAGCTGTCAAATACTATTTCCATAAAAACTATATTAAAAATAAAATTCGTGCAAACATTTTATATCATCCATTTTTATTTGATGAATATTGATTTTAATTGATAGAAAGGAAGAAGTTGAATAGATCTGGTAAAAATTTTGCAATAATAAATGCATGCGCAACTAAACTTATGTTAGTTATAAATCATATTGCATGAAAACCTATCAAATAAAATGCTGTCAATAGTATTTTGAGAGAATAGTGTATAGTATACAAGTATTTTATATAAGACATATCATTTTTTTTCGCTTAAATTTAAAAATAAAAAACCATTATTAAGAATAATCATGTGACTTTTTTGACTTGAAATCGTTCTGCGAAAAGAAGAATTATTAATGAGCAATAAATATTTATTCTGCGACGAATAATTCTATATTTTTCTAGCTTCATATACAAACGCAAACGTAAAGAGCAAGAGAAATGAATAGAAAAAGAAGATTGACAACGAAGCAAACAAACGTTACTGAAGTTTTATTATTCTTGCCATTCTATTGTTGCCCTTCATGTATAGTCATTAGTCAGCAAGATCTAAGAATGTCTCTAAATAAACGAATTTGGAAAGAAAATCGAAGATGCACATTTTTCTTCCTTTGTCACTGTCTGTGACATTACTTTCATTGAATAGACGAGTTACATGTCTGAAAAGCATCTTGAGGGTGTGTGGGTAGAGACATAAAGAAGAGAAACCCACACCCACGTTTTCGCTATTTACAGAATTGTTCTCGGTACGTGCGCGAGAGCAACTACAAACTAGAATTAATTCAAACATAAGTGAACAATGCATTCTTTTATTTATGTGTCAACAATTCTTAATAATTTCTTTTTTTACAATTTCAATACTTTCTTTCACATCTTTAATATCAGAATGATTCGGAGGCAATGCACGTTGGAATATGTCCAGAGCACGTTCATAATATGAGAGTGCTTTCGAATAGTCTTTCATATTATAATATACACTACCGATGTTGTCGCATGACGTAGCCAAATCAGGATGATTTGAAGGAAGAGTTTTTTGACAGATTTCGAGTTCTTTTTCATAAAACGAAAGCGCTTTCGAGTACTCTCCCATCCCATCATACGCACTACCGATGTTGTCGTATGACTGCGCAAAATCAGGATGATTTGAAGGAAGAGTTTTTTCTCGAATTTCAAGTGCTTTTTCGTAAAACGAAAGTGCTTTCGAGTACTTTTCCATCTTTGCATACACACAACCGATGTTGTTGTATGAAGTAGCCAAATCAGGATGATTCGAAGGAAGAGTCTTTTGATAGATTTCAAGCGCGTTTTCAAAAAAGGAAAGTGCTTTCGAGTACTCTTCCATCTTGCCATACACCAAACCAATGTTGTTATATGAAGTAGCCAATGCAGGATGATTTGACGGAAGAGTTTTTTGGTAGATTTCAAGCGCTTTTTCGTGAGATGAAAGTGCTTTTGAGTACTCTCCCATGTTGTCATACACCATACCGATGTTGTTGTATGAAGTAGCCAAATGAGGATTGTTTGAAGAAAGAGTTTTTTCATAATACGAAAGTGCTTTCAAGTACTCTCCCATGTTGTCATATACACTGCCGATGTTGTTGTATAACTCCGCAAAATCAGGATGATTCGCAGGAAGAGTCTTTTGTCGAACTTCTAGTGCTTTTTCATAGAATGAAAGTGCTTTTTCGTACTCTCCCATTTTGTCATGCACCAAACCGATGCTGTTATATGACTGCGCAAAATCAGGATGATTTGCAGGAAGAGTTTTTTGTCGCATTTCCAGTGCTTTTTCGTAATATGAAAGTGCTTTCGAGTACTCTCCCATGCTGTCATACACCAAACCAATGTTGTTATGTGACTCCGCCAAATCAGGATGATTTAAAAGAGTTTCTTGTCGAATTTCGAGTGCTTTTTCGTAAAACGAAAGTGCTTTCGAGAACTCTCCCATCTCGTCATACACCAAACCGATTCCGTTGTATGAAGTAGCCAAATCAAGATGATTTGAAGGAAGAGTTTTTTGTTGGATTTCAATTCCTTGTTCATTATACCAAATAGCCTTTTGATAATCACCTTGATTGTAATGGACTAAGCCCAGCTGACAATAATAGAACGCTTTCGTACCCTCATTAGACGTCTGTTCGAGTAATACATTATAAAGTTCTTTAGCTTTATTAAATTGACCAATTTTAAGCAATAATTTACCTAATCTTTGCCATCCAGTACCACCAGCTTCTTTTCGTATCCGATCAGTAAGTACTCGTAGTTGTTCGTCATCATCCGATGTTAATTCTAATTCAACTTCATAAATTTGATCGTTCTCGTCCATTTGTTTAATTGCATTCACTCGAAAGACGGTGTCCATTGAGAATAGAATTTCTTCTTCTTGTGCTTCGAAATAACTAAGTTCAGTAACAGAGGCAAATGGTGTTGATTTAATACGAGGATCAATCGACATTATAAAGAGAATGCCAACCATATCTGATTTTGACGAAGCACGTCCAGCATATTCGAGGGACACTTCTCTATCTTTGCTCGTGGACAGGAAAATGTTAAATGACATTAGTCCACCTTTTGTTTTCTGAAGTTTTTCAAAGTCTGATTTCACAAGACCTTGTCCTCGATAAACTACAAAAGACTTTCCACCATAACTATCGATCTGTTGTTCATAATGCTGTCGAATTTGTGTATGTACATCACGTAGAAAGAAGCCCATATTAATGATTATATCGGCATCCAAAATTCGAAGTGCTTGATTGAGCATTTTGTAGGTAAAACACTCACGTGTATACCACCATATTGCTCGTTCTGGACAATAATCAATTTCGAATTCATCAATAACTTTTAATTCACGTTTTTTGTCGGGATAAAGTCTCCGACAAAAAATGGCCAAGTCCTGGATTTCTTTGTGACTGTATTCGATATCAAGAAGGATTTCCTTGAATATCTGTGTGTACATAAAAATTGGCTCCAACTGATTCAAATTATCAGTTGAAGCCATTTCATTTACGGTAAGAAAACTTACAGCTATTGTGTCCTGGTCGCATTGTTTAACTGCCAATTGCAATGCGTGACATATTTCTTTAATGTTTGTATGAACACCTTTGACTTTTGTCCAGTTTTGTGTCCATTCTTTATGTCTGAATTTGTTGCCACATAAGATATAAATCGTATTTAACTGTGGCATGTCATGAATTTCCGGAACTAGGTATTGACCCATATAGCCTGATGTAATAACCAAGGCTCGTTCCTTGCCAATCTGATTGAGCAACTGGTTGCAATGATTCGGTTGCGTGCATAAGGTGACGTCAGTGACCACCTTCCTCAGTTGATCCAGTGTGTCTTGACAATCATTGTCTGCTTCATCGACGCTGGCATCCACCCAGATGAGAAGGTAGTTTTGTGCCATACGTTATATTATCGTGATTAATGAGTACTTGATGATACTGCTGCTTTGAATCCAATCCGTTTATTCTGATCTTGCGTTACTTTGTTGTTGAAGGTGAATTTGGCAGTAAATGCTGTTGTTTGAATGAAAAGAAAGATCACCGTTCTTCTTTAAATAGGCAGTGACTTGTTTTTTCTCGATTTTTCGGCGACTTCCAATGTTTGCATGTTTTGGTTGGTAATGTTATTGAAAGAACGAACAAAACAGAAGCCAACAATCACATTCATTTTATTGTTATTCTTTCCAACTTATTCTTGCTTCTACCTACATCATTGATGCAGTTTGCCAATGTGTAGGCGACGTTTTTTTCATCAAGTATAGGTAGAAAGTGAAATGCAGCTATTACAACGAATTAGGTTTTGTTCAATACTCTTCCTCAAACATTATATCCATGTTTGATAAAATAACAGTAAATTGCTTTAGGTTACACTTACTTTTGTATTTCTTTAGAAAGTTCTGTAAATCAATGAATTAGCCTTAATATTTTTCAAATCATAATGCTCACGATTAGACATGCACCAAAACCCAAACTTTTGAGTTTGATGATGTCATGATTTATAATCAAATCTGCTGTGAGATTTTTGAAGAAAAAAGTATGAGAAGATTAATTTTATATTTTCTTTTTTCTATATCAACTTATTAAGATTTATTTTAAAATAATTTTTAATAATTGTTCACAATTCAAAAAACAAACATTAGACATTTGTTTAATTTTTTCAAGGGTGGGTGGGTGTGGGTGTAAATATTCGCTTATTATATCATCTACATTTACACACCCACCGACACCCACCCTCATTCATGTGATATAATTGGAAAAAGATGCACTAGAAATTTCAACGAAACAATTTCATCGAAATTGAAAATTCAATCATTGACTTTATTGAAGAAGAATGAAGATCAATTATGTGTTAATAATATTGAAAAACGTTCATTAACAACAACGTGTTGCCCTTACTCGAAAAGTGTTTGTTGTGAAAAAGATGGTTCAGTTTATTGTCCGAATAATTATCATGTCAATTAAATGAATTGAATTTATCACGAAATCTTCGATTAGATATTGATTATCATCAACATGGTTTATCTAATTTTGTTTGTTCAAATGATCGAACATGTTGCCGAACGTTTAGATCATCTGATGAAGATTATGCTCGTTGTACACTTTCGGATTTTCGTTCTTTTCTTTCTCTTTCTTATAGGCATGATGTTCCGAAGATGGTCGACATTGTTGTCCAAAATGGTACAAAATGTGATACACAATATGTTGGTTGTATTCAAGATTATTAAATGAATGTTTTGTCTTTCAAGGAAATTTTGTTTTTATTAAATAGAGAAAAATTGTTTGTGAGATTAACGGAAAAGATTCACTCGAATAAATTAAAACGATATTTACTTTAAAAGTTAATAATATATTTTAATGAATCTAAATCCGAAAATGATGTTTATGTTCATTAGAATTTGTTACATAATCAATAGGTTTATCTTCTGGAACTTCTGCAGTCCCATCACCACGTTTATTCCAATGATCTCGATAGTAGATGAAAGTCACAATAGATAATCTGATTACCATAGCATCCACAAAATGTTTTTTGCTTTACGATTTTCAATTCAACTATAAAATATAGTAGAAAGGCCTGGAAGATTCTATCGATATTTTCAAAAGACAGAAAAATATATAGAAATAGCTCGTGAAATAGAAAGAAGATAAATAGAAGTTACAATGACGTCATTTAGATACATAAGAACGATTTATTTCTTTGAATTTACTTCATTTCTCTCTCTCCCTCTCTCACTAGTTCGCACATATAATCCACGGTCAATACTGATACAAAAATTGTACGATTTATTCTAAACAAACCTTATATCATGAATCGTCGTCCGATCCATTATAATGCCTATCAAAGCGACGATGTGATGTCAAAACGTAGAAAAGAAAAATATCGAAAGGAAAAATGTAGAGAAAATTAAAGTTTGAAACGAAAATGAATATACAAAATAGAACGTAAGGAGGATTTGTACTTCCATATATATTCTTGTTTTTCGCATTTATCTCTTTCAATGTCTTTCTTTTCTGTTTTCTCTCATTCATTAATCCGTCCTGTACTTTACTTAATTTTTTTCGCGCGAAAGCAGACTATTATTCCTTTGAGAATAACAGACGAGCGTTCACATATATATATAGAAAAGGTAAAGCAATAATGACAGACTGCACACTTGTTCTGTATATATGAGAACAATGGCAATCAATACCGTTGATGTATGTCTTGCATTGATTTTGACGCGTCTATCATATACATGATGACATCTAATGTTTTGTTGTTTTAGTTTTATTTCTAGAAAAATCGATTGGTATTTGATCTTGCTCGAAAAAATTACCAACTGGAACAATTAGTTAATCATACCCCAATTTATATGATGACTCCTCAACAACTCCATCTATTTAATAATCTATCTGCTGAAATAAGTGCTTTAAAAGCTGAATTATATCATTTGATGATAATAGATCATGACGTATAGATCGATATTATTTTATGAAAGACTTTCTTTTCTTTTTCTATTCGTATTTTTCTTTGTTAATGAAACAAGATATTACTATTGGTTGATTCAGGAACTTTTCAATAAAAATGAAGAATACAACTTGATAATGGGTAAATTATAAACTGTTCGTAGTTAATTGTTTGTTAACCTCCAATTGAGGGTGTGGGTGTGAAATGAATATAATATTCGATGCAAAAATAAATAAAAAAAACGTTAGAAAACAATCGCACAACATTTATTCTAAATAACATCATATATTTTGACTAACAGATTAATATGTTTTGAATTATTCATCTTCGCATTATCTAACTCTAGAAACAAAAATTCAATATAAAATTCTAAGGACGTAGGTTGAGTATAAGCGCATTTTTTATGCTTTATCCACACTCACACACATCCACCCACAAGATGAATGACGATAATATTATTGTATGTTTTCTACTCTTCACAACGTGCAGGTAATTATGTCGTTATTTTAGTGTTCTCCACTCATCCATAATGCGCATCTTGCATATGAGTAATACGAATTGAAGTATCAACGAACCACGTGTAAATAAAAGACGGCGATAGCGCACATTTTGTTGATCAGTTAAAAAAGTACATACACAAATATAGATATACAATACACTCAGATTCAGAGAAGGTACGTAAAATTAGTGCTATTTGAACGTCAGTATGGCCACATTTTTGAAACAATAATCGATGTTTTTTGTATTAGCTTGTGAGTTTTCGTTGAAATAGTAAAAGTAATTGTTCTCAAAATGAATTTCTTTTAAATGTATCTAGAGAATAACAAAAATAACATTCACATTAGACTTTCTGATAAATGTAGAACTATACAAAGACATATTGTGAAAGAATTCGAATTTTGCATAATTTCTTTCAACATTGTTTTGTAAGAATTAGTATTTCGTTGGATACATGAATTCTTGAAAAAAAACTGACATTAAATAATCTAACATCCATATAAAAGTTTGAAAAAATATACAAACTATTTTTTCTTGTCAGTCACCATGTTGTTATGAGAGAATGGCATCTAAATGTATACACACAGTAATCAGAGTGTACAAGAGCATAGATTCATTTTTGTTTTATTTTTTCGAAGATAATAAATGGGTCAAAAACTCGTCGCATGCTTTCGACCACCACCACCACCAATAGCAGCGGAACAGAAATTATCAGAGCAAGTGTCTCTACCACCGAAACTATCGTATGTAGAACAACAGGACTCCATTTCCGGCCCTTCGCTTTGTGACATACCAGCCGAATTACTTCTTTACAACATCTTTCCATACTTAACATTCATGGATCTCTGTCATCTTTCGCAAGTCAACAGACTTTTGCACAACCTTCTTGAATCAACAGACCACGATAACAAGGAGCTTTCAGCACATTTATGGGCAAAATGTATCAAGTCTGAAATGCTAGGTAAGAATACAACAACTATTCGAGTTTGAAAATCAATGGAATTTCTACCACTTTGGGGGAGTTGTTTATTATCTAGGAACAACGAAGATTGTTCAGCACATAAGTCGAGGTGTTTCTAAACCTAAATGATGAGGTAGAACCTTCATGGATTTGTTTAGAGATGATTAAAATATAGGAGGAGATATGTACGTTTTTTGACAAACATTCCTATGGAGTGTCTTCTATTCCCAAAACGATAGAAACTGAAGACTTCATAATTTATATATTTGTCTCCGTAGAGAGTTATATCAGCAAAGACATTAACGTGATATATATCAGATCTCGTACAAACAATGGAGTTACCGAAAACTATCTGGAATGGGATGAAACGGCAACGATTCATATTTTTGAAAGTAGGTGTAATGCGGCGCTGCACATAGGAAAATAACTCCAAACTGCTATTTAGATGAACGTTTTCGTGAAATCAAAGACAGAATCTTTCATGCCTTCGGTGGCAACCAATTACATCCGGAACTGTTGCCTGATAATCAAGAGCTGTGTTTACAACATCAATCGTCATTCTGGATCCATGAGACTGAAAGATTGGCAAAGTATCAAGATCTAATGGACGATGAGAAGAAGCTCATTCTGACAGTGCGTCCATATTTGTATCCACCCTTTCAAGGAACACCGAAAGACGTAGCATACGATGAAAAGCAATAGCGCACTGTACTAAAAGCCGCCGCTAACTATCAGAAAGGTAAGCTAAACTTTTTTTAGTTTTCAAAAGTGACTATACAACTAAGAATATTATTGGTGATTTTCTCTGTTCTAGATAACAACCAATCAGCTGGTGGTGTGCCTGAGAAGCAGACAGAAATCTTCGAAAGTATGAGAGCAAAATTTCGATCTTTATATATGAGACGAAAACAAGAAGTAGATCCGTGGACAGAAGTTCTAAGTCTGCAAAATGATGGATTTACTCGCTCTTCGGGAAGTGACTACAATTGGAAGCTCTACAGTCGATATATTACAGTGTATCCAATATGTTCTATCAGAAAAGAATCCAAAAAAGACAAGCTATGTAAGTATTGCCAGAGTTCAAAATCAGTCTTTGCTTCGCTGTTAACTTCAGACAAAAATTAGTTTTCATTGACGACAAAAGCATGTTCTCTTACAATTTCCAGGTGTTTACTATGAACGCGGTCTGCTGAATCCAGCTGCTGAAATGGACGGCCACAGTCCCTATTTGGCAGCAGATATCAGCAAACTTCTGATGGGTCCGGCTTACTGTGAATACTGGCTCCGCTACTATCGAGGTCTAATCAAATGTCTAAAGTGTAAACAGAAACTTTTTCTTACGCCGCCGTTGAATGAGCAGCAGCCAAAGCCATACACATGGTACATTAGCTATTCACAGAAGGGATCGCGTCTGAGTGGCGATAGACATGGTCATCGAATGGAATATATTGAAGTCTATTGTCCTGCATGTGAACGGTATTCTCTTTGGAAGTGCGAGCAACAACCAGATGAATGGTAACCAGCACTGGGTGAAACTTCAAAGACGAGACCGAAATGAAGAATAGATCGAATTCACTGGAGATTATTTGAAGAAAGAGAGATTTACTCAAAATAAAAGAATGTACTGAAAATATCAGGGTTGTTCTATAAACTAAAAGATTATCGTAATTTACTAAATATTGCGTGAATGAGAGTGTGAGAACAGCTATCATAATCTGCATTTCACTCCAGCTACCAAGATCATCAGATGGCTTTATAGAATAATTATGATTCAAAAATTTTAAAAAATTGTAGATTTAATAATTCTATAATAATCGAGGACAGGTTCACGTACCTTTTGCAGAAAATACAAGTTCGATCTGCTATTTGGGTGTTGGTGTGACTGTAGATGGGTACTAATGTGCAAAAAGAGAAGACTGGTACTTACACCCACACCGCACCCTAAACAGTGACGGAACCTACAGTACTTCTTATAGTATATTAAATTAAGTCCAAAAAGATTTGTATCAATTTTTTATTTTCATTAAATAGTTCACTATGTGTTCTATTACTAAACTTGTAAAATAATGTCCTTAACCATCGTTGCTGTAGAAAATGATTGGAGTTGATGTACAGATGCCAGATGAGGAAGTGCAATATCGTATGATGGTGGTGAAACTTCTGAACGATGTTTATCAATAGCAATGTGGTATGGTGGTGGGAGTGCTTCGAATATACCAGAAATTGTTGACACCGATTGTTCACTATCATACGGTGTAGAAACATTTAGTGTAGATTGTCCTGTCATTTGCTGTAGTTCAACTATACGTTGGTTACGTGGAGAAACACGTAAACAGCATCGCCAACATGTGCGAATAATCAGATATATCAGAGGAATATAAATACAGCAAACGATGAAAATTCCACTAAGTATTTCTAATCCCAAAATGAGTCCAGAAGATGAAGGTGCATGAGATATTGGTCTATTAAGAAAATCTGGTCGCGTAACATATTGAAACATTATTGGACGAAATGTTGGTATTGTTCTATAATGACATGCAAAGATCTCACTTCCACATTCCACATTTGATATTGCTATCAATAAATACCAAACAAATCATTTCAATATTTCTAAAAAATTTCTCTTACCTGGGCAACACCAAACCAATGATGCAAGAGAACAAGTCTTTTCTAAATTTAAAAAGCAAAAATTTCGTGCTGAATCATTACAATCCTAATTATTAATATACATACGGTAAGATGACGAACAGTTTTTATTATCTACAATTGTAGATTTAAAAATAACTAGAATAAGAATACAAGATATACCATTATTCAAGTGACTGAACATTTTGTTTGGAACGTGAGATGCTTCTTTATTCAATTATCTAGAAAAAGTGTATAAACTACTTCATACAAATTTGGGCACTGGCAGACACATTCATACATAATATCAGTTGGATAATAGAATAAAACCTAAAAGAGACTTTTCTTTGATTCACTCGACGAAAAAAAGAATCATAGATAAGCTTATTGCTTTTAAAAGACAAAAAGTAAAGTTGCAGATAAAAAGATTAACATATCATTCAAGATATGTAAAGATTTTTTCTGAGTCGTGATAAAAAATAATATAACATAAAAAAGAATAAAGAAACGCATATCTGCAAATATTTCTCTATCATGGTGATCATAAATGTAATGTGATCAAAGGGGAGAGAAAAACAACTGCTATGGGCGTGTGAGTGTGAGTGTGAATATTAAGTTAATTACCTTCACCCACACACATTGATCGATCTTTTATAAGAGATATCAGACTTATTTTTTTATTTGTGCTTAACTAGCCAGTGCTCAACTTTCTCGTGCTCATCGGTCCGGTTCTTAGATATAAGAATAGTGAACTGTATAATCCAAAAGCTGGAAGTTGGACAATTACCGGTAATTTAACTATTGGACAAACGAGTCATATGGCATTATTACTAACAAATAGAATAGTTCTAGTTACTGGTGGAAATAACTTCAACGATATTCTCCAGAGTGCTGAATTATATGATCCATTGAATGAAACATGATCTGTGGTTGATGGTATGGGCGATTTAATTCTTTAATAAAATAAGAAAAATAGGATCACATATTGTTCAAAAATTTTATTTTATACAAGAATAGTATGAAGACAAAACTGTCTGAGGATATGTGTGGATCAGTAGGATGATTGTATCAACAAGAAGTTAACTGCACCTTCACCAACATTCTCAAGATAAATAACTTTCAAGTCATTTTAAAAAAAAAGTACATGATTACTTCATTTCGTTTATTTTTTATTGAAATGAAACAAAACAGAAAACTGCTGAAATACAGAAAAGAAATGCGGAAACAAAGCGAACATACATATATTGCAATGTAAGCATGAATGTATATCAAGTGTTTTTGTCATTTTTTCTTCATCCAGTAATTTGAGATTTCAATCAAAAGATCAATCAAATAATATTTTGTTTATTTCAAAGTTTGAGAAATTTCTGAACGCGTCCATTTTCTGTATCACAAACATACATATTCATTGCCGAATCGAATGCAATACCTTGTGGATTTCTTAACTGTGTTGGACTATTACCAGCGACACC